ATGGTTGAGTTTTTATTTACAAACGCAGTTTAAAATAGTTTCCAGATGAGTAAAGCGGATGTGGGATGTCTTTCCTATTACTCACACGTCATTATTCCAATGATAACTTGATAGTTTTCCCTGTCTACAACAGGCTTGGTGTGATACATCAAACATTATGGGACAATAATGTGAAACAGCATTTTTTTTTATTTTTTTTTTATCCCTCGTTCCTAGACCCCTTATTATCAAATTATCCGCCAGAAACTTCGTGAATGGCTGGCTTCATCTTAACATAACCTACTGATTCTTTATTTACGAAAATTTTCGGAATTGGGGCATTATCAATTTAGAAATGGGTCAACATTTTCTGATTAATGAGGTACTAAAACTAGTGGTGGGCGTTTTTGCTATTTTTGAAAAACGTAAATGAACTGTTCGTTGACCAAAAACAACAGTTTCTCAGAACTGTCGAAAAAAACTATTTCATAGAACAACGCAACGATTCATAAAGTAATACCTATTCGTTTAATAACAAGTCTGGAAATGAATAAATCATTTTATGTATGAAGTTTTGCATTGTTCGAGTTGAAATTAATAACCTTTGAATTTATTTTTAATATTGCGTGAATGTTAAATCTTAAAAATTACTAATTTTAACTAATTTAAACTAGACATTTTTTACACATATAACATTTTTTATTTTAATAATATTTTGACTTTTTTATATGTTCGAAGTTTGAAATTATGCTGCTTGGTCGTCATGAGTCTTTTAACTGTAGTTCAAACAATTTTTCAACTGTTTGCCTTTTTCAATTTTTATAGAATATAACAGTGTTTAATTTTATTTATGCGAAAAATTATTTTCGGCCTGTAAGACACTAATGTAGATTAATATAGACACTAAAAACATAAACTAATTTTGTATATAGATATACTTAAGATAATTTAGCAATGTAGTAAGTATAATGTAAGTTTTTATTTATTTCTTGCCTTCATTAATAATGGAGGTAAAAATTACATTCCTAAACTTAACAGTCTTATAAAAAAAACTGTTGGGTTATTTTAATGATGTACTGAAAGATTCATTGGAAAGCAGAAAGTGATTTTGTTTCGTTTGGAAAAACGAAACTAAAAACTGTAGATCCAGCAGTGTTTACTTTACAATTATATTAAAAGAATCATAACTTTTAAGTCTGATTTCTCATAGATTTGAAGTGTTGATGTTTTATTTTTGATATTTTTTTTCTTTTTGTTTAAAACAGAAATATATGTTTAAATGATAATTTAAGTCGCTCAAGGCGATTTATTACCCTTAACTTTTTTGTAAATTTATTTATTTGGTTTTATTATCTTGTAAATATGAAAAGAATTATGATTTATTTCATTCATTCATTAGTCTGAATATTATCTTTTAATTAAAATGATAATTTAATATTATGTTATGTTTTTTGGTTTAAAATACTACATATTTTTATAGCATTATTTTTAAAGAATTATAACCTTAACTAAATGATTTGTCCATATCATAAAAACATATGTTCTAATTAGAAATTTTGCACAATGCTACCTTGATTAGGCTATTCGTACTACTCTATTTTTTTTAAATTCATTACATATACTTAAAAATATTTATACTTTTTATTATAAATATAAATAAAGATATTTATCAAACTTATAAAAAATTAATTTTTGTCATTAATAATAAATGACGCCATAAAAAAACTTCTGAAATAAATACCCAATGACGAACTTTTTTTATGTATTTCCTGACGAAAAAAAAACAATTGATTTTAATTAGAATAAAGATGTTCTTTAGAACAAAAGATTTGATAAAATAATCATCTGTGTACTTTTTTTTTCTCGAATCATTAGTAAATGCACTGCATATTTATATCTGATATCCTTTTGAACTTTTTGAGATTAAAATATTCATTTCATTGTAATGCTCTTAAAAAAGAATTTCTTTTTGACAATATTCACTATTACCTCAGATGTATAAAATTTGCTGTTTTCTCGATTGTATATAGATTTTTGGAGAATAAAAGTAAATTTTTATTCAATCTTCATCAAAGAATAACAACTGTATTTATTCTAACTCACAATAAATTTGTTGTATATATCGAAATTTTGGTAAAACTTGGACGTCAATATTTTCAAAAAAAAAAAAAACAGTTAAATAATAGCATGTTTTTAGGTTTAATATTAATCTTTATAGTTATTTAATGTAGTTACTAATCTTAGCACACACAATACCAACATTACCATAGATACGTCATTGTTTATTTTTAATACGTTATGAGTTAATTTGTTATCTTATCTTGAGTACGTTTGTTTATTTATGTAGAAATCTATTTTAAAAAATAAATGTTGATAACATATTTAATATTTAAGGCTTAGCCAGAACCTCACGAACATCGATTTTAAAATTACAATTACATAATTTGTAGCTATCGATTCTTGCAGAAGTATTGTGGTAAAATCTTTACATCTTATTTCGAAACGGTGTTTTTTGTCAGTACGCCATATCTTTGTCAATTCTGCATGAAATACAATGACTGAGCCCTTCTCTTGAAGATCGTCTTCAGGTGTGAAAAATAACCACATCCTCCCGAAATTTCAGGAATAAAATTTATGAAGGAAAAGAAATTTTATTTGCGAATAACTCAGAAAGTGCACAGTTTGAATGGCATGAGTATTTGAAAGCTTTCTGAATTCCCTAAAAATAAAAAAAAAAATCGCAATCAGACGATTTGGTGCAGGGATACAGTGTTTTTTTTTTATTAATCGAAAACTTGGAAACAATAAAATGTCAGGACCTCATAGACCTCTAATTCATATATTTATAGTTTCTACATTTTCTCCTTGTAGATTTGACTGCTTTGCTTTAGTCTTGCCGGAAATCGCAACCGAAATAATAAGTGGCAAATTAGGAAAGTCCCTCTCTGTCCGCATAGAGTCCCAGGAACAACCATCGACATAGTATGGTAAAGCATGGTGCTCTTACTGACAAGTAAGAGCACCATACTTTAGCTTTGCCTTTTTCTAATTAACTACACAGATTTATTCCAAAACTTTTGCTTGATTGGTTTCTGGAATGTTTTTTAAATAATGTTTTATCTGTTCTTAACTGATCTTGATGAAGAAATTGGATATTTAATGAGTGTCAGCTACTGGAGCCTTATAATGGGGACTTTTGCCAATAGTTGACAGGCCTATACTCTAATAAATTCAAAGAGATATTCTGAACATAATGGGTCTTAAAAATGGGACCATTCACTATTGTCTCATTAAAAAAAAATGCTAATGATTGGGATTAAACATAAAGCAAAAGTTGGTTTTTCTATAACCACAAACTGGCTCTTAACAGCGACCAGCATTTATTGGCAAATTTAAGTCGGGAAACCCAATAAGTTAATTTTATAATAAATTAAAAATAATTTTGAGAAGGAGTTAGTCGAGGGTGCGGTCAAATAAATAAAAAAATTAAAATATATAAATTATTTTAATTTTTGCCGACGTTTCGACCCACTTTGCAGGTCGTCTTCAGGGCTACAAAAGATACAAAACATGTTGAAAATAAAAAATAAATATAAGTATATATAAAATACGAAGAAGTTGTCAGATACAGAAATAAAAGATGGTATCAGAGATATAGTGGGTGACAATGTAGTTAAATATTAAGAATTATATATGTAGGAGATACAAATAAATGGAAAATAAGTAGGAATAAAAATAAAGGAGAATATAGCATGTAAGTTAATGCTATATTCTCCTTTATTTTTATTCCTACTTATTTTCCATTTATTTGTATCTCCTACATATATAATTCTTAATATTTAACTACATTGTCACCCACTATATCTCTGATACCATCTTTTATTTCTGTATCTGACAACTTCTTCGTATTTTATATATACTTATATTTATTTTTTATTTTCAACATGTTTTGTATCTTTTGTAGCCCTGAAGACGACCTGCAAAGTGGGTCGAAACGTCGGCAAAAATTAAAATAATTTATATATTTTAATTTTTTTATTTATTTGACCGCACCCTCGACTAACTCCTTCTCATATTATATCAACGGTCAACCATCTCTACATCATTAAAAATAATTTTTGTTAATCTTAAAATGAAGAATACGAAATTTCCCTTAATTATATCCTTTTTCTCATCCCTGTCAGCTATAGGAACATTTCAAATCAAATAATGTCAGCTATTGGTATAACAAAACTACTTTCTTAATTTTTTTTTTTTTTTAATATGATTTGAAATATGTCTTTAAATATTAAATATTTTTATAAGATGAATCCATGAATAATATAATAACATTTTTTATTTAAGATTTTAAACGTAAAATTTCAATGAAATTTCCTTAAACAATTACCCAATGCAATTATTTAAAAATAGTGAACTGTTGGGTAGTGAGTAAACTTTGAAGCGTTTATGTTTTAGACTGCTTCGGAAGATTTGGTTTTCATAGATTTCGGTTTATTTTATGTTTGATTAAATTATTTTCTGTAACATTACATTAGAATTCAGTTGTGTTGGTTACCGGAGGTTTCCAGCCGGACAACAACCCTCTCCTCTACATCTTGAATGGCGGAAAATTAAGTTACTTAATAATGGAGACAAAATTAAGATTGTCCCCCTCCCCCCCAGTCTAAAATCTTAGTTTCACCCGTAATATTATATGTTCCTCATCACTAACGGATCCAGGATTTAATTTTGGGGAGGGGCATCAGCCCGAAAGATTTTTCTTTTATGTATATATTACGATAATTACTTCAGGAGAAAGAAAGAAACTAAGTACCTATATGAAATGGTGTTTAAGTGATTCTTTAAGTCCTATTAAATGTAATTAGACGAACAATAATGCTTTTAGAGACAATTTTCTTCATAAAACATGGTTATGTTTTACCATTTTGGGAAGGGGGATTCAACCCAAAAGCTCACCCTGTAGATCCTGTGTGCCTCATGTAATTTTATTGGTCTTACATAATAATTTTAAATTTAGTTACCTAACAATTTCTTGAAGCGATTCAAGGTCACCTAGTGCGGCTGCAGTAAATGCATCAATCCTTCTTCCCTGAATCGTCTTATAAAATTCCTCCATTACCTAAAAGTAGAAAAAAAATAAAAGTAAAAAAAAAAAATATAATATTTAGGCATAAGCACAAATTATTACAGATCATTATCATACATAGTTGTGAATTAAAATATATTGCAGCTATTACTGACTGAAGTCCATGAAAGACTCCTTAATCCACTCTTTCACATAATAATTTAAGTAATACAGCGTTTTTATTTACTATTATATTCGACAACAGAACGAAATATTATATTAAATCGTTTTCATTCAATAATATTAGAATACGTTTTTATAAATATTTATCAGAGATTTTTTAAAATATTAAAAACATGATAATAAAAAATATTTTTATTTAAAAATATATATATATATATATAATATAGCTGGAAAGTAATAAGAAAACTTTTATCTTATAACACAAAAAATGTTAACCTATATTATAAAGAAATATTTTCTCTATAGGCGAAGTTCACTTACCGTATTACAGCACCCCCTCCTTAAAAAAAATCAAAGATGCCATAACATTTCGCAATTTATCAAGTCATCCCTAGTAGCTTTTATTGTTATTATGTAATGGCCACTTGTGCTTTTTAGATTTTTCCCTACAGATTAACATATAAATTACATTTAAAAACAATAAACCTATAAATGTAATAATTGTTACTTTTTCTTTATAAATATTAATAAAAATATATTTAATTATATAAATACCACTTATATTTGTATTTCAATTTACTCATGCCTCGAAGTGATGTGAAATAATGTTTTAAGGTGCGTTTAGACATTTCACAAACTATCTGACAAACAAATACATAAATGGATTATTGCGTTAAGCTAATATTTTTGTTTCATGTTTTTAAGATTTTCCATCTCCTGATAAAATAAATAGTTTACCAATATTTTTGCTATTAGTTAAGTTAGATAATTGAATTTCCCTTAGTTTGTAAAATGTCTAAAGGCACTTTAATATTTATTTTTCTATTAATATAATTAAAATATTCTCGCTGAAATAAGACGATAGTATATTATAATTTTTTTTTTTAATTTTATCTAATATTTTTATATCAATATATTTATAATTGGACAAGTTCCTGAACTAAACTATAAAAACTATGGATGAAATTCAGCGCTTTCTTTTATTCTGCGAATGAATTACCGCTGACTCAGCTGTTCCATCGGCTTTTGGAGTCGATGGGTCCACTGTATGTGATCTGATTATTACCTCATTTAACCTTATATATATATTAAGTTTATTTAATAAGTATATTTTCTTCCGTTTGGAAGGTCAACAATTTTGTTGCTAATTATTTCCTTATATATATATTTTTTTTTTGTCATATGTTTTGCAACTTTCTATGAGTATTAAACTTCCACTGGAATCCATCTGGTCGTACTTAAACTCAGCATAAATAGTTGTCCATCTCTAGAATTCAATTGATTGATGAAATCCTTCAATGGCATTGGTATTGAGTTTAGGAACTTGCACATTACTTAAATTAATTACGGTAGTTGAAAGATGAGGTCAAATTAATGATTTCAAGCAAACTATTTAATAATAAACAAAAGAAATTCAAACTTAGTTAATATTTTTCACCATTTTAGTTGCAATAGATCCAGCTCAGTGTGATATAATGCGTTGGAAATTTTTTTAACATTATAAAATATCTATGAAAATTAATTTTAAAAAGTCTTAATTTCATTTTTATTTTAAACATATTATATTAATTTGCATAGTAATTAGATTATTTTCTTGATTAAAATTGTCTGAATGTCAGAAAGAGAAGGGAGCGAAAATTCGGATATAGGAGCTTCTAAAGATTTATTCATTCATGAATTAAAATAATGTTCAAGTTCCTAAACTCGGCGTAGAGATCATTGATTAGCATCTGAAATCTATCAGGCCGTTCCTAAACTAATCTATGTAACAATAGACAAGTTCCTAATCTCAGAGCTGAAAACATTGATGAGCATCTGGAATCCATCAGTGGATTTTCACTAAGTTTAAGCATTTATCCATTTATATTTTAAATCAATTCCTACAGTAGAACAAAGAAATGCGACTTAGAAATAGGACATTGGAATTAATTAGCTCATTACAGTGCACATTATTTGATTGATAAATAAATTTTAAAATAATCAAGGTGCGTCATCAAATTAATTTTTTCAACTGATTATAATTTGTAATTTAGATTGCAACAATGTCAGCAGCTGAAATTATTAATAACTGGACTTTCGCCACTTTCATTTAAACCGGTTCAATTATAGAATTTAAATTTAGAATTATCTTTGGCATATTTCTTGGCACATAGAAGAAATAATATTGCCAATCATATAGTATTCATAATTAGTATTTTTTTTTTAAATCGTTTTTTACAGCTATGAATATTTTTCTATTTTTTAATAGTAACTAGAAAAATATTTATAAAAAAGGATGATACGATTGATTTTTTCAAATTTTAATTTCTTTGATTACCAAAATGATTATTAATTAACAAACTGTTTACTATATAGATACCCATTAGTTTAAGGAGTGATAAAGAAAATTTTCATAATCGTTTCTTATCAGATATTGAAAATATGAACTAGTGATTTTAGAAGGGGTTTAAAAATTGTCAATACACATTAATCGTTTTAAAGAGAGGCATTTAAAAAGATTTTACGAAACAATTGTTTTTTTTTAAATGTTCTACTTTGAATAATTTAAAGCAAGATATCATTGGTGGAATGTATATAATCCAATATAAAATATAAATTCAATTTGTTCGTTGAATTTATTATTGTTTAGGTAATATTTTTTGTTAATCTGTCCATGTCTGATATCGAAGGGACTATTTGTTACCTTAACGAATAATGTTTTCTTTTAATGTTTATTTATTTTATAATTATTTTTGTACGTGTGTAGTTGTTTAAGATTGAGATATTTATAATGATGAAGATATTTTAGTTTTAGCTTTGTTTTCGATTGAAGGTTGAAGGTCGTTTCTAGAGGCAGACCAAGGAGGCTTCTAGCTACTCCAATGCATTGGCTTTTCAGACGTCCTTTGTTCAGGTTAAAACCTGTCTTGAGCAAGTCCTTTACAAACACTTCGATATTAAACATGCCTATTCAGGTGAGCTTATCTTTTATTTAATTTAAGTTTACAAATCATAATTTTGTGTTGTTTTTTTTATCATTCATAACCTGTACTACGGCTGATGAATTTCATTTTAAACGAAAAAGAACCATATTCAAACTGTGTTTATCAGTAGTCATTAAGATGTTACATTGTTCAGTTTCCATTGCATTCCAAACCAATAAATACTCTACTTTAGTATTTCTCATTACTCTAGTTTCAGTTTTTAATAATTTTATTAAACTTTGCTTATACCTTACTTGAGTTATAAATGTAATGAGTTCTTCAATTTATTGTTGATAATCACATCATTAAAATAATTAGCCCCTCTTTGAATTATACAACAAAAAAAGCTATCTTACAAATTTCAAAGCTTAAGTTGGTTGTAATGACTTGTGCAATGGGGTTGAGAATTGAAACTTTGTGTTCTTTCTTTAGGTTGGTGATACCATTCCAGATGCTACTCTGTATGAAAACACACCCGGAAACAAAGTAAACATTAAAGAATTATGTGCGGGTAAAAAGGTTGTGATTTTTGCTGTACCAGGTGCATTTACTCCGGGTTGTTCCAAGGTACGAGATTTCTCTTAGTATTTCATTCCATCGATATGTTTAATCTTGAATATTGTATATGTGACATTTGAAAGTTTATGAAAATGTAATATTTCAGACTCATTTGCCTGGTTATGTCAAAGACTCCGAGAGTATAAAAAGTAGTGGTATCGCTGAGATAGTTTGTGTATCTGTAAATGATCCATTTGTTATGGGCGCATGGGCCAAAGATCACAATGCTGAAGGGAAGGTAATGATTTCTTATTTTTTTTTATTTTTAATATTTTTATATTATATTTTATAGCTAATTTTATAGGTACCATAACTTTTAATTAAACTTCAGTTTTATTATTAATCACGGTGGTAAGTATTTGTGTTTACTTAACGTTTCTATTTAATAATCATCTTATGCAAAAATAATAAATAAGACTTTAACAAATAAATGTAGATACCCATTCCTTTCCTTTGCTTCCCATTTTAATTTATTTATGTTTGCTTTCCATTGTAACTGTAATGTCATTGTGTTGGTTAGTTAGGTCTTCTCAGTGTCTCTTGTACTTAAGAACCCTTTCCTTAAAATATTGAAATTGTAATCATCTTAATTTGTTATCCATGTTTTTCCCCAAAAATGTAAGTCCAACATTATTTTTTGTACCCTGTCATTTTTTTTTTTTTCATTTTCATTTTGTTAATTCTTTCATTTCCATTGATGGTTTTAATGTATTAAAACAAAATGTGGTAACTAAAATTTTGACTACTTTCAATAAAGGGTCTTTCAACATTTGACTATAACCTCTATCCCACAAATTTATTTTTGCTGAAATTAAAATGTATTTTTGTTTATTGTTTCTTATTATTTTTTTGTTAATACAGGTTTGTCATTATGTTCACAAAATGCACATAAATTTTGTTTACAGATATTAAAATGTATAGATTGATATGGTTATTAATAAATATAAACATTAATTATTTACAAATGCTGTTTTATTTTATTTATTTTTTACTTTTAATTCTTTTAAAATTTATAAATAAAGAATATGAAAAACAAAAAAAAAATTAGTGCATGTCTAATTATTTTATGTCACCCTCAAGTCGTAAAATCACAAAACTGCTATTTGTGATTAGAAGGTGTTAGTTATTGGTGTATGAAAGTTGTGTGTATTATTATGAATAAAGAGTATTATTTTCATCAGAGGTCATGTTTTTTAATATACTTTGTTTTGATGGTGTAAATAAATTCCCTTCCCTTGACATAATAGTTCTATATAATCAATTTTGACATATCCCTGGGCTCCTATGGATCATGAAAGGAAAATACTGACAAACTATTATGGCTGTCTTATGAAGTGACGCCGTGGTCATCTTGTATTACACTCAAATTTTATAAGGTTTTGATTAAATGTTTATCAATAAAACAGCGACTATTTCCCAAGGTAATCATGTTATCCGATATGGACAACAGTAATATAATCAAACATATTAGCTTGAATAATATTCATGTGGTACTGAAATAAGTTTATCTTGGTTTTTACAATAAAATGTTAAAAGTGTTATGTTCATACCTGCATTTCTTCATTGGTTTCCTCTTTCAAATATTGCAAACCAGAACATTTAAAAAAATATATATATTTATGTTTCTATTTTCTCGAATCTTAAAATATTTACGTATAAATCTTTTTACGAGATTCAGTGAATAAGTAAATAACAATATTTTGTCTATGTTACAAGACTATTCTCATATTCGTGCTCTACAGTGAAAAATATTAACAATTCAGTCATAAATTGCCCAAAAGAGAATACTCCAAAAACCATAATGTCTTGTTAGTTCTTATAATCAAATTTAACATATATATTCATATCTAAAGAAATCTAGGTCCTTTGGAATAATTAAAAAAATAAATAAAACTGTAAGCTCCACTTATAGTAAAAATGTAAATAACATCGCAATTAAGTAATAGTGGTCCCATTTTTAAGGGAACGAATACAACTGGGCCTTGCAATTTCTACAGTTTGACCGCAATTTGTTGGCAGCTCAAGGATGAACTCGTGTGTTGCAAAGTTGAAACTTACATTTTGTTATTTCCCTAAATTTCTGCAAAATATTTAGATATGTATACATAAATTAAATGAAATTATTGAAGAAAGTAAGTCGACTATACTACATATTATGGGTCATTATCAGGCCGTGTTAATGAAGGTGTTCAAGCGGACACTTGAACACTTTCTATGTTGGTAACATGTTCTGGTAATGACGCACAAGTTTAAGTTAAAATATTTCCTATAAAAATCTTAAAAACTAACACTGACTATCTGTCATCCATGATAAATTAGAAGATTACTATAATATCTTTCAAAATATGTATATATTTTGTAATTTATAACAGAAAGTTGAGGTGAAAACAAAATGGTAGTTACAGCTTTGTGGCATATGTCGTATTGCCAACTAATCTCAGTTGCACTACAGGTTAAAAATTTTGAAAGAATGTAATAATAAAATATTTTCATGTTCTTTAAACTGTCTGGTTAGAAATTTAAACTACACCATTCGTCATTTTCTCTTCCAGTTTTGGAATATTATCAGTCCATTTGTCAGTTATAGTAAAATGAAAACAAGTATGTTATTATGTAGATGTATTTAGTGCATTTCATGAATTTCACTATAATTCAGAGGCTGATAGATCAATAGAAACTCTAGTGGACTTGGAATTTGAAATATTTAATGTTTTTTTAAATTTATTATTAGCCCTTGGTTCGATGCTGAAAGCTCTAATATGTGTAAGCTTAACTATTCTCTCTTCTTTTTATTATAGAATTTTCTTTATATCGAGGCATTTTGCTGATTATTTCTTAAATTAAACAACATTGCTTTGTAGGCTATGAGAACTTTATGTTAAAATATTGTTTTCATTTACACTGCTTTTATACAAATGTGACTAACAATAGCATGGCTTGTTTTGAACAAAAAAAGGTTATCTTCAATATTTCAATAGTTATAGAAATTAAGATAATGAATTACTTAGTATCGTACTTATTTTTACATCAATTTTATTTTTGGTGATTTTGTACAGAAATTTTCTCTGGTTAAATTATGCTTTTATTAGAATTCATTAAAGATTAATTTTACATCTTATGTTTTGAGGTATTTTCTCAGTAAGTTGTCTACCATCTAAGGATGAAACAAAATTTCCAGGAATTTCAGTCAAAGTTTCTTTAATAATTTAATTTCCTCGGAGTTATTGTCTCGTCTTCCAAACAATAGCCCTGATGATGACTCCATGTTTGGGTCGAAACGTCGGATAGCTCATTATAAAGAAATTTTCACTGAAATAATGATAATTTGTTTCATCCTTATTATTCAATACAGGCTACTTATCCATCCAATTTTGTTGTATGTTTTTTGATTGATTGGTAAGGCGAGGTAAATTATCAGCTATAAAAAGTGTACGAGATCAGAATTAATTGTCCAAAACCAGAGGCAGAGGTATAGTTGGGGAAGGGAATGGCCAAACAAACAGGAAATAGAATAAATGTTTACTATCTCTTTAGAGCATAGGAGAATCTACGGGGGGAAGGGGCTGAAGGCCCCTCTCTAATACGATAAAATATAACCATGTTTTATGAAAAAAATTATCTCTAAAAGTATTATTGTTCGTCTAATTACATTTAATAGGGCTTAAAGAATCACTTTCATATAGTTAGTTAGTTTCTTTCTTTCTTGCGAAGTAATTATCCTGATATATACATACAAAAAAAAAAAAAAATCAGGCTGTAGCCCCCAAAATTAAATCCTGGATACATTAGTGCTTTAGAGTGATCATATAAAATCTGTATTTAACTGATTTTTTCCCCAGTAAATTATTTAATTTCAACCATAGCTTACAATTGACCATCATTTAGTGGTGCCTTTAGTATTAAATGGTAATAACATTATACAAACAAATTAGGGGCTGTAATAATTCAATTAATTAATTGAAATATTAAGTTTACTTTTAATACTTAAACAAATGCCTTATATTTGGGCAAGTGGAAAAAATGAAGTGATTACTAGACTCTGAGGGGAAAATCTGACTGAACAGAAGGGAAACCTAAAAAAATAGGTTGGAAACATTTTTTTTATAACCTATATCTTATACAGGGTTCCCACTTTTGTGGAAAAGTTTCCTTTTAAGAGAAATTCCAAGGTTGGTGGGGGAAAGATTGGAAACAAGTTTTGTCAATATAAGCATAGTTTAATCTATTTTTTAAAATAATAATGGAAGTAAATCAGACATAAAACGACTAGTTACATATAGTATTACATATTATTTTGTATGTACTTGGGCAGAAAGGATTTTAAAGTTCGATCTGAGGGGGGGAAGAAGGGAAATTTACAAAAAATTAGTGGAAACACTGATCTCATATTGCTATTGGCACTCTTTCTCTTATAAATATCCATGAAATCTGTTAAAGATAGCTGTTTATTTCACTGAAAATTTACAGTTAGAGGAATATAGCAATTATAAGTACATTAGTTAAAATATTTTTAAAGAAAAAAAGTTTGTTTAATTTGGTAAAACAATTTATAGTTTGTTTAAATCAATTTTTCAATATTTTACGAAATTATGGTAATCTATTGTTCATAGTATATTTTTCAATAAATACTGTCCAATTTTAATAGTTGCAAAGGATGAAATTAATAAATAAATAAATAAAAATCAAAATATTTCCATGATAGTATATAAATTTGTTTAGAATGTACCTAATGTTTGTAGGATTAAAAGTAAAAAAAATTATAAAAGTAGATTTCTTCTTTAGAAGAAATATATTGTTATAAATTTGGACCATATTAATAATAGATTTATTATTTAATATTCATAAATAATTAATTAATCTGCTGTTTGAAATTAAATTTGTCCAAGACTTTTTAAATGTAAGATCTTTAAGGTGAACAGGTATTAGTACCAATGCCATCCAGATAATATTGACATTTCTATTTGTGTTTTGGTATATATACCAGCGTGATACGATTGTCATTTTTAAAACCCAGTAGGTTTTTGAATTGCATTTAAAGATTGAAACAGAATTAATAGCCTCGTGAACTTGCATTAATACAATTTTGTTTTGTGTTCTTAATAAAAAGTTTCATGTTGTATTAAGAAAACTAAAACATTATTGCTTGTCGTTACGGTTGTTCTTATTATTTTTTTTTTTTTTGTGTTAACATAAAAATACTATAATGAAGTGTTTGCTAAAATATTCATAATGATGTAA